CTGACTAAATAAAAATATATAAATATAACCATAGTTTGATTTTGTGCAGAAGATGCCCACTGCATCAGTATGGTCCTGTACACCACACAGAATTAGTATGGTTCTGTACACCACACAGAATTAGTATGGTTCTGTACACCACAGTGCATTAGTATGGTCCTGTACACCACACTGCAACAATAGGATCCTGTACACCACACTGCATCAGTATGGCCCTGTACACCACACTGCATCAGTAATTTCCTGTGTACCACACTGCATCAGTAAGGTCCTGTACAGCACACTGCATCAGTAGGGTCCTATACACCACACTGCATCAGTATGGACCTGTGCACCACACCGCATTAGTATGGTTCTGTATACTACATAGAATTAATATGGGCCTGTACACCACACTGCATTAGTATGGTCCTGTACACCACACTGCATCAGTAAGGTCCTGTACACCATACTGCATCAGTAAGGTCCTGTACACCATACTGCATCAGTAAGGTTCTGTACACCATACTGCATCAGTAAGGTCCTGTACACCATACTGCATCAGTAAGGTTCTGTACACCATACTGCATCAGTAAGGTCCTGTACACCATACTGCATCAGTAAGGTCCTGTACACCATACTGCATCAGTAAGGTTCTGTACACCATACTGCATCAGTAAGGTCCGGTGCACCACACTGAAATGGAATTATCAGAAACCTGGGTGTTAGTTATCTGTTGTGAGTGGCATCCCTGGGAGTATGGTAGCCCTTAGACAGGGCTGTTCTTCGACATGCAAGGAGGCAAGATAACAGTTCTTTCCCTGTAAATAAGCTGAGGTAGGATAACAGCTCTTAGCCTGTAAAGCAGCCGAAGACAGGTAACAGCTCTTTGCCTATAAATGAATTGAAGCAGGCGTACAGCTCTTAGACTGTAAATGAGTTGAGGTAGAATAGCAAAGTTTAGCATGGAAATTTAACTGTGTGAAATAAATACAAAATACTGTCTTTTCAAGAGGTCCGTCGGCGAGTCGAGTAAAATGACAAGGAAACTTTTTCAGATTCTTTCTTTTGTTTGTTTACAACCCAGTGCTTGCATTTGTAAATATTTTTTTATCAAATTATTCATTCAGTGTGCTTAAAAGAATTATCCATTTAGATCCTGCGACCCTGAAATGTGGAGTAAAGAAATAAAGAGAAACGAGAGACGAAAAATGCGATAGAGGGAAAAAATGGGAAGGTCAATTTTCCCTTTTCTTTATTCTTTTTCCCCCATTTTACCTTCCATATCTTTGGTTTCTTAACATTTATCAATAATTCTTTCCTTCCATGGATCCAAACTGGTTTCGCAGGGCATGTACACCGAGTGGTGTGTTACTCTCAGTGAATACGAGCATACACTGAGAGTGTATTTTAATCCCTATTTTAGGGATTAGAGTGTTCCTGCCTGGCCCATCGACGCAAGTGCAGTCGATAAGCTTTAAACTCCCTCTTTAAACAACCCACCAACCAAACTGCGTTGCTGACATCAGTGAAGAATCAAGACAGAGGCGAACGCTGTCCCGATAAATGCTCTCTCTCTCTCTCTCTGGAACTTTCATTTTCTTATCCGTCCCTCTAGCTCCCCGGTACTGACTTATCACATTTCGACTTCGCCCTAGTTATAGAGACGCCCGGTTCTAGTTCCATAATTGATGTTTCCAGCTCTAGTTATCCCTATACTAACCTCGTTGTTTTTCCCGGTGTTTCACATAGTTGAACAGTTACCAAACCGGTCATACTTAGTACTTAGGTACTTTACTCCTGGGTAACACTTTGAGGCGCTCTTGATATTCTGCCTTGAAAATCATCGCTTAAATATCCTTCTTAGGCATCGACAGATTCATAACAATGGCTAAAGGATGGATATTATTGCATGTTACGAAGAATGCTGTGTTTTCTAACTACACTGTCCCGAAAAGTATTATCATTTTTACACACACACACACCAACAACAACGCTCAGCACTAAACAACACACACAAACACACACACACACACACACACACAAACAACAATTAACACAAAGAGGAGCTTGGACTCGACCCCTGCAACTCAATAGGTGAGTACACACACAAAACACACACACACACACACAACACACACACACACACACAATCTACTACACAAAATCAACAACGCCTCGTCTCTAAACTAATTACACATTTTTTTGACTTTAAATTGGACCTTCTTTTAAACAAGTGTAATATTACATATACATATTTTATATATATATATAAATATATATTATATATATATATATATATATATATATTATATATATATATATTTATATATATATATATATATATATATATATATATATATGTGTGTATATATATATATATAAATATATATATATATATATATATATATATATATATATATTATATATATATATATAATATATATATATATATATTTTATATTATACTATTTGGAAAAGTAATCAGAAAGAAAAAATAAATATTGAATTAAAAAGGTAATTGAATTAACACAGCTGTGTGACCCTAACATTTTCTATTTTCATCGTGAATTTTACTATAAAAAAAGTTGAATGTAGTAAGATCGACGCGGTTTCCCAATTATTTGTGTACAGACTATTATTAAACGAGGATGATACGGTTTAACACACCTTGATGACATGCAAATGAAATTCACTGTATGAGGAATGATAATGTTGCCACGAATATGAGGGGGCAATACCGTGGCTGAAAAATTTCACAATCCACACACACAGGCCTGGTCACAGACCGGACCGCGGGGGCGTTGACCCCCCAAAACCATCTCCAGGTATCTCTAGGTATACACACCTACTGAAGGAAACCTTAGGCTGTGTCTCCGCCCGTCCTGGACGGAGGGACAGAGTGGAGCGTCGTCTCAATTTCCTACAGGAAGTGAGTTATTTATGAAGTGTCGCCAGATCAGTAATGTCAGACAATTTAATATTTAAATGCGGTAAAGCGACTTAAGCCGCACACTGGGGACCTTAATGTTTTTTATTTAGTTAACAGTATATCCAAAAGGATGTATTTATAATTATGGATTATCAAATAATTCAGCTTGACTATAAATAATAAATGCATACAAATAATTTATATCACCATATCAGCAATTATTTGAGCATCAGCAGTGTTGCTCCTGGCCTCTTTTTTTAATTTATTTTGTTGTCTTCATTTGCAAAAATACATACCTAGTATGATATATAACGTAATAAAGAAGTTAGAAAATCCTAGTTGAGTCCTTATAACGTAATAAAGAAACCAGAAGATCCTAGTTGAGTCCTTATAACGTAATAAAGAAACCAGAAGATCCTAGTTGAGTCCTTATAAAGTAATAAAGAAAATAGAAGATCCTAGTTGAGTCCTTATAACGTAATAAAAAAAACAGAAGATCCTAGTTGAGTCCTTATAACGTAATAAAAAACACAGAAGATCCTAGTTGAGTCCTTATAACGCAATAAAAAAAACAGAAGATCCTAGTTGAGTCCTTATAACGTAATAAAAAAAACAGAAGATCCTAGCTGAGTCCTTATAACGTAATAAAAAATACAGATGATCCTAGTTGAGTCCTTATAACTTAATAAAAACACAGAAGATCCTAGTTGAGTCCTTATAACGTAATAAAAACACAGAAGATCCTAGTTGAGTCCTTATAACGTAATAAAAAAAAACAGAAGATCCTAGTTGAGTCCTTATAACGTAATAAAGAAACCAGAAGATCCTAGTTGAGTCCTCATTATGGTCTTCGATGGAGCTATATTCAGTTTTTAATCATTGAAAATTTCTCTGCAGTCGAAGCTTATTTCTAAAAATATGCTTAGTAGTTCTGTATAATAAAAAAAATATATATATATAAATGACTAGTATGATAAAGGCGAGAAAAAACAAAGGTCATTTTGAGTTGTTCAGTCAAGAAAATTAAACAATTAGTGAGCATCTATCCAAGAAAAAATAGTTTAGAACAAAGAGGAGTTTATAAAACGTCTTGTAAAGAGTGTAATTGTTGTTCACTCTGATCAGACTAGATGGGACTTGACACCCAAGACTGTTTAACACGAACGATGTTAGATTTGGCCAGAAAAGCTCCAAGTTCAGCTTCAATTTAGGAGGATGACAGTCATCAAAATTATTAAAAATTCTGCAAATCATTTACCCAACAAATAGTATACATAAAAATAATATAATCGAATCACTATATATATATACATATATATATATATATATATATTATATATATATATATATATATATATATATATATATATATATATATATATATATATATATGCAAAACAACCACTCTGAAAGAATAGAGAAATTCCAAGCGCTTGATAATGCTTGATAATGTGAGTAGTCACGAAAGCACTTGGAATTTCTCTATTCTTTCAGAGTGGTTGTTTTGCATATTCTGAAATCACTGTTTACTGTGATCTTATTATATATTATAATATATATATATATATATATATATATATATATATATATATATATATATATATATATATATATATATATTATATATATGTAAACACTGATCTCTGGCTGAAGGAGACTCGAACCTACGAACCTTAGAACAAGGTACGCAGTGCTATACCAATCTACCCTCACTGGACAATACCTTGGCGTGTAGCTAGCGCTACACGTTGATCCAAGGCAGCCAGCTTTCAGGGAGAAGGCTTACAGCTTTTCATCTCATCCCCCGTAAGCCTTCTCTCTGAAAGCTGGCTGCCTTGGATCAACGTGTAGCGCTAGCTACACGCCAAGGTATTGTCCAGTGTGGGTAGATTGGTATAGCACTGGGTACCGTGTTCTAAGGTTCGTAGGTTCGAGTCTCCTTCAGCCAGAGATCAGTGTTTGTGTATATTTCGCCTGCTCTTGCGAATTCCTTGTATATATATATATTATATATATATATATATATATATATATATATATATATATATTATATATATATATATATATATTATATATATAATATCCACAGAAAGATACTGTGCTACTTCAGCTTCTACAACTCCTAAAAATTCTGTAAGGCGCTGTATTTTCCCTACGAGTTAAGCGCTTCTCCACAATAATAATAATAATATAATAATAATAATAATATTCTGAAGGCCGGAATGCATCTGTTGGGGGATTGGCAGGAAGGGGATTTGGGGACGTAAGGGATGGGTAGGACGGGCGTGGGAGAAATAAAAGGTCAAGAATCCTGTCAGCATCCTTAACAATATACAACTCTGTCGTTGTGATCTCCGGTGAAAAATCTCCATCCTTTCTACTTGACCCTTGCTTTAGATTCTAGGAGGACTTTCATCTCGTCCAGAGCTCGTTCCAGATTTCTTCCGAATTCCAGAGTGGAAGTGGCCTCGCAGGAGTTGAAGGCGGAGAGACAGAAGACAATGTAGTCTGGGTGAGGATTGTAGGAAGCACCGTAGCCATCAGGTACCACCGGGCCGTAGCCCATCCAGGAGTCAGAGAGAGTAGGCACCTGCGACACACATGAACTACTGAGTCAACATGCTAGCAATATCGTCAATACACATGAATTACTGAGTCAACACACATGAACCACTGAGTCAACACACTAGCAGTATGGAGACAAGTGACATAAAATACCGACACGATGGAAAATGGCAAATGCAGCATTATGCGATCCGTTACTGAAAACGTTTCGCCTACACAATAAGCCCACTGTATGGGCAAAACGTTGTCAATAGAAGATCGCATTATACTGCATTTGTTTCTCTCTTTTCCCTACTAACTGTACCGACATTCTCCATGAATCACTGAGACAACCCTGCTGGTACTACCTCTAATACAACTGAACTACTGTAAAGGAGACAATCCTTGTTCATTCTTGTCCATGTACCCCCTACACCCCTCACAGGGAGAGACAATTTCCTGTGAACACAATATCACGGAAATTCTTAAAAATTTCACTTTACCTGACTGGTGGAGAGCCGAAAGTGATTGGCCACGTGGTAGGACCTATGGCTGAAAATCTCTGGGGTAGGCAGACCCATTTCCTTAGCCATTTCCCTGAGGCCCAAGAGGTGAATGTCGATTCCTCTGCCCAGAATGTTGTTAACCATTATATCCGTCTGCAGTTTGATGGCAGCCTCGTATTTCGACAGACGGTTAGCAAACTGGAAGAAAGATAAAGAGGAAGTAACGAGGTGATTGGTGTGTCTCGTAGGAGGGCGCTAGTGCGTTGTCATCGGTCGTTGCAGTCTTGTCATGTGCTGTTTTGTATAGTAAAACTGATTTTTGAGGCGACACACATGACACAACACGACACGACAGGTGTTTAGGAAGTTGATTACTGACTTTCCTGATTGTTTCAAAACCAATTAATGATACGGATAAGACAAACAAACGAAGCAAGAATACCCATTTACACACATGATTTTCTTTACCTTATTGTACACTAACTTCTTCAAAAATTTAAGTAAATAAAATTAAATTCTACAAGCAATTCCTCAAACCAGCGAGTCAGCTGGAATAACCAGACTTTCCCAGTAAAACAACACTGTACCACGCTTCGCTATTAACAGAGATAACTGTCATGTACACCAATGTACCACATTTACCACAATAATACAAAACACTGTACCACACCTCACTGAAATACACCATTGTACTACATTTCACTGCACTACACACCACTGTGTTACACTTCACTGTAATACACAACACTGTACCCCACTACACTGTAATACACAACTCTGTACCACACTTTACTAATACACAACACTGTACCACACTTCACTAATACACAACACGTACCACATTTCACTGTAGAACACTTCACTGTAAATACACAATGTACCACACTTCACTGTAAATACACAATGTACCACACTTCACTGTAATAAACAACACTGTAACATATTTCACTATAATACACAACACTGTACTGTAATGCACAATACTGTACCACACTGCACTGTAATACACAAATATGCACCATTCACTACAATATGCAACACTGTACTACACTTCACTGTAATCCACAACACTGTACCCCACTTAACTGTAATATGCAATACTGTACAATGTTCACTGTAATACACAATACTGTACCCCAGTTCACTATAATACACAACATTGTACAACACTTAACTATAATACAGAACATGTACCACACTTCATAAGTAATAAAAAAAACCCTGACACAAGTATATTTAAATAAATGATTCTGAATTACACAATATTGATATAATTACTTTTATAAAAAAAATATTTAAATGGCAGAAATATTGCTTTGGAATATAATGTGACTGCTGGTGATATAGAAATTATATTATAAATCTTGGCAAAAATGTTCAATTAATTTGATATGCACTGAATAACATTATTATTATTATTATTATTATTATTATTATTATTATTATTATTATTATTATTATTATTATTATTTCCACTAAATTATAAAAAACAAGCCCTTAATCCGTATGGGTGATACAGGTGCTGTGTTGTGATTGAGTGTTTCAGTATGGGTTAAACCAGTGGTTCCCAAACTTTTTCAGGCCGCTGCTCCCGTGGCTCGAAGGCCACATCCCCAGCACCCAACCACAGTTTACTGCTAAGTCAAAATTCCTCAACGCTTCCCCTGGATCTTTCCACCGCCCCCAGGGGGCGGTACCGCCCTCTTTGGGAATTACTGGGTTAGGCTAACCCCTATTGAAACACTCTCTGCCTAACCCCTGAGGGTAAATGAGAGTGCGAGAAGGTAGTGTGGTCGAGCCTCTGGTGGTTAACGCTCTCGCTTCACACGGCGAGGGCCTGAGTTCGATTCCCAGCCAGAGTAGAAACATTGGACGTGTTTCTTTCCACCTGTTGTCTATGTTCCCCATCAGTAAAATGGGTACCTGGGTGTTAGTCGACTGGTGTGGGTCGCATCCTGGGACACTGACCTAATTTGCCCGAAATGCGGAGCATAACAAGGGACTTTCTATATAGTAGTATGTCATTGTTATCAGCTAGGACTGTATACTTTGTACATGTACTTGTAGTAAAATAAAGATATTAAAAAAAAAAACATATACAGATTACCTGAGTGTCCCTGGCCATTTTCATCTCATAGTTATAGTTGCACTCGTACATACAGAGGTGTACTGCCAACAGTACTGAGGAAACTACAAAGATGCAGAGAAAGTCTTAACTGTGTCGACATGTCTCTCTCTACAGAACTTGACAAAGTTCTACACAGTGAAGAGTTGTCACTTGTACTGAACAGTCAGTCTTTGTCTATCTCTTCCATTCCTAAGACTCTATGTTGTAAACATCTCTCTTCTCTCCTTAAGTTCATATAGTTTTTCTGTATAACTATTGTTCTTCTGTTTCAAGCACCAGTGTTATGGCAAACTGTTGCAAATTATATATTTTCTTTACTTCTTCAGTTTGATATGGCTCCTCACAGGCTCTGAGTATTCTAGGAATGGTTTAGTGTGTTTCAGTTATGTCTCAGATGATCCTTCAATCTCCTAAAATAATCGGATTCGGTTTAGTCACTCCTTAAAGCATATTTCCTTTAATTCTGGGACTAGTTTTGTTGCGAACTTCTGTACGTTCTGTCGATTCTTGAGGTGTCTTATCAGGTAAGTGTTCCATGATGGTGCTGGGTACTCCAGGATGTAACGTATGTTTTATATTGTGTTATTAATGTCTCATAGTTGAGTTTCCTGTAGCCATTATGAAATTTGCGAATTGTTCACCCGCAGGAACGTGGGCGTGATGGAGCATGGGTGTGATAGCTTGGGCGTGACAACATGGGAGTAACAAAGTGAGAATGAGGGTATGGGTAGGAGAGCTTGAGTGTTGGAGTGCTTGCGTGAGGATAGGGAGTACTCACGGGTGCGTTGATAACCATGGCTTCACACCAGGCTAACACCTGGGGTGTGTTTGCCCTGATGGAGTCGACCCGCCCAAGCCGGAACCTGCGGGTGCTGGCACTCTCGTAGGTGCTGGTGAGCTGGCCGTGGCACCTAGACGAGACATAACACTAAGAGCAGTCCGTGGCACATGGAGGAATTCAAGGCACCTAGGTGAGCTCCAGGACTCACTTAGGTAAGTCCACAGAACAAAAAACACATATAGGAGAACATGGATAAATTAAGTGTCCCAGAGATAAGAGAGAGAATAATTGAGATATCAATACACCTCTACATATATAAAGCACACAGTGGTCTTCAAGGCTGCATATCACCAGTCAATAATATTTTAATCCATAAAATAAGGATTAAAATAAGCCCTCAGTCAGGGATGATTAGTTGATTAATGGGGCTTAAAAGTCCATCAACTACACGAGGGTCATTTAGGGTGGGAGGAGAAGGGAGTCTGCTGAGACCTTAACTTTTGTATTCACTGTCCGATTCTTCTGATTTTTAACTACTGAAAGTGTATATGTATGGGAATATGATAGTGTTTGAGTTTCATGGTAATAACCCTGAATATAAAAAAAAATAAAACACTTAAACACGCGTATAGGAAAACTAAACAGAGAAAGTATTGCAGATGAGCGCATATAAGAACATAAGAAAAAGGAACACTGCAACAGGCCTACTGACCCACGCGGAGCAGGTCCATGTCCCCCCCCCCGGATTAGACCAATGACCCACCCCCCGGATTATCCCAGTGACCCACCCAGTCTTGTCATCCCCACTCAAGGATGGAGCACTGTACCAGACCCAGCAGCAAAGCTAGTCAGGTCCAATCACACCCACCCACACCCACTCATGTATTTATCTAACCTATTTTTAAAACTACACAACGTTTTAGCCTCAATAACTGTACTCGGGAGCTTGTTCCACTCATCCACAACTCTATTACCAAACCAGTGCTTTCCTATATCCTTCCTGAATCTGAATTTTTCCAACTTGAAACCATTGCTGCGAGTCCTGTCTTGGATGGAAATTTTCAGCACACTATTTACATCTCCCTTATTTATTCCTGTTTTCCATTTATACACCTCGATCATATCCCCCTAATTCTACGACTTTCGAGAGAGTGCAGATTCAGGGCCCTTAGTCTATCCTCATAGGGAAGATTTCTGATACATGGGATCATCTTTGTCATCCTCCTTTGTACGTTTTCCAGAGCATTTATATCCATTCTGTAATACGGTGACAGAACTGAGCAGCATATTCTAAATGAGGCCTAACCAAGGATATATAGAGTTGAAGAATAACCTGAGGACTTCTATTATTTATACTTCTAGATATGAAGCCAAGAATTCTGTTAGCTTTATTGCGAACACTAATGCACTGTTGTCTTGGTTTTAGATTACTGCTAACCAGAACTCCTAAATCCTTTTCGCAATCGGTAGTACATGTATTAAGATCTACATTATTTAGTTTATATGGGGCATGGTTATTTAACTGTCCAACATTTAGAACTTTGCATTTGTCAATATTAAACTGCATCTGCCACTTCTCCGACCATTGCGTCAGTCTATTCAAATCATCCTGGAGTGCTCTAATGTCCTGATTAGAATGAATTGGACGGCCTATTTTGGTGTCATCAGCAAATTTGCTTATGTCGCTATTTATTCCCTTATCTATGTCGTTTATGTAAATTGTGAACAACAACGGGCCCAACACTGACCCCTGAGGAACACGGCTTGTGACGTGCCCCCATTCTGATTTCTCCCCATTTATGCAAACTCTCTGCTGTCTATTTGTCAGCCATGCCTCTACCCGAGAAAAAAGTTTCTCCTATTCCGTGTGCCCTAAGTTTCCTCAATAGCCTCTGGTGTGGAACTCTATCGAAAGCCTTACTGAAGTCCATATACACAATGTCATATTCATTACCATGATCTACCTCCTCAAACACCTTAGTGAAAAAAGTTAGTAAATTCGTAAGACAGGAACGCCCCTTTGTAAAACCGTGTTGAGAATCATTAATCAATCTGTGCCTGTCAAGATGGCTACGAATTGCTTCGGCAGTTATTGATTCCATAAATTTTCAGAATGAGTTAACTGAATATTCCATGCCCCAGATAGTATGAAAAAAATCATCCTATTTAAAAAATATATTTTTGTTTTCGATATTTTCATTATATATATATATATATATTAATAAAGTAAAATATTTTGAGAGTGATTTTGTTGATTTGTTGATTTTTGTGACTCTCTGTATAATATCAGAAATTTTATTAACGGTCCATAAATAATGGAGCACAGTTTTTACAGCCGAGATAATCGCAGATAAAAAATAATATTTTATGTGTCTTCAATGAATGTGACTTTCCTTCTAGTCACCCATTTTTGTTGCCCAGGTAGTTGCATCATAGTCATATTTATGTATTAAACCAAAACAAAAAAAATGGACGAGAATTTCTGACGAAATTCCGTAATTTCCTACAACTCAAATTAGAAAAAATTGCAGAAACAAAAATAAAACACAAAATAATCCTTGAATTAGTGCAACATTTAAAACAATAAATACGCTTTAAAAAAAAAAAACATGTTTTTAATTTCACCCAAGATCACCCCCTCCCACTGGTCATCTGTCCACCACCAGTCAACAACACTGATCCCTAGAGTAGTGATTCAAATAGAAAAAGACAGTATATATACACTGAGTGACATACACCTTGCAATGTAAATATCCTGACTTAGAGATGTACTGTATATATGTATGATTTGCTAGCTTTATGTATGAGAGAGAAAGTTATTCATAATTATCAGACTATTTGTTCTCTTTACACACAAAGATTCATTTGTTGTAGACTAATAATAATAATAATAATAATAATAATAATAATAATAATAATAATAATAATAATAATAATAATAATAATAATAATAATAATAACAATAGTGTTATTATTATTATGATTATTGTTGTATTATTATGAATATTATTGTTGTATTATTATAATTATATTACTCTTATTATCATTGTTATTAACATTATTGTTGCATTTACAAGAAGAAGCATCACACCAGCGAGGGTCATACAACTGAACAGTTGTAGGAGTTGCTTTCTTTAGCTATTAATGTAGCACATTTGATACCATGGTCCCTCGGTACTATTTGTTTACTTACGTTAAAGGCGTGTACTAATCATCATGGTGTTGTCACTTTCGCTGTTATTGATGTATTAATATGGTCTATTTTCCTCAGGCTCATGATATTTTAAGAGGAAACTCATACTTAATATGCAGCTGCAGTCTGTCATTTTGACTATAACTCTTTAATATATTCTTTGGGATTGGGGCGAAGAATTGCTTTACTTTTTCCTCTCAGTCTCTAAATTTTGTGTCAGAGAAGAAGACACTTGGAATCCGCTAATGATGAGATGCTCTCTCTCCAACACCTCCCTCAACACCCTTTCAACGTGTCTCTCAGAAAGTCCATCATCCCCCAACACCTCTCTTGTCCAGGCAGACAAACATGTAATAATACTGCAGGTGCTTTAGTATGAATGGAAGACATTGTTTATCAGTTACATTTATTGTCTCTTGCTTGGATATCTAAAATGAGGTGCTGTATAAATTTCTGAAAATGTATTAATATTTTATTACACATTATGCGACAGGTCTGTCTCTACGATTATTAGTACTCAACATGTAGGTTTATTAAATAAACCATGCCACTGAAGACTCTCATTTCAATTTTATATGTGCTTGCTAATAATTTCCTATGTAACATACTGAATATGAAGGTGATGGGAAGAGCGGTGGTCAGTCGTACCTGAAGAAAGCAAGCTGGAGGGCTAGCTGGATGAAGGCGTCAGGGGAACACTTGGTTCTTTTCATGAAATTCCTGCCGTAGCCCAGGTACCTCAGGATGCGGAAGTCGAGGTCTTCAACCAACCTGAGCGAGGACACCATCGTTACTGATTAGTTGCTGTACGTGCACACACACACACACACACACACACACACACACACACACCACCTGCAACCATAAATAGATGAGTACAAATAGGTGAATACACACACACACACCACATACACAGGTATGATAAAGCTCACGGCTCAGGGAGAGTGACCTAGTAGCGATCAGTGAAGAGGCGGGGCCAGGAGCTCGGACTCGACCCCCGCAACCTCAACTAGGTGAGTACACACACACACACACACACACATATCATTAAAAGAGAAATGTTAGGTCCATAACCGAGTATGTAGCCCCGGCATAGAACCCCGCTAGACGAAGAATATGCAAAAGATATAAATGACCCTATTGTCTGATACAATACTTATCGCAGCGATGACAGGATTACGGGATGAAGAGACACTCAAGAAACCGAATCTGAAGACCTTGGATAAGAGAAGAAAATGGAAAGACATAATTACGACTTACAAAATCACAAGAGATCGACAGGACAAACGATAATAAATAATATAATCAAATGGGCCATACGACTCTATGGATAGGGATTTGTGATTGTAGGTATGTGAGAAGGTTTGAAGTGAGCGCAGGTGAGGTACGTAGGAATCCCCGAAGGAAGACTTTGACGTGGTTACCTCATTATCTTTTTTTTCTCCAATTTTTCGTTTTTATCTCTCTTATCATGCGAGAATCCCCAGATACGATTGGTTTCAAATTTTGATGCTATCCTTAACACACTACCTTCATCTGAGAAAACTTCCCCTTAATGTACTTATTACTGCTCTTGGAACATCGCATAACACCGTGATGACGCATGAAGATGTGTGAAAGATTTTGAGCTACAGATCTCTCCCCTCCACCCATCGTGGCTTGATTTCATAAGATCGCCTATACCAATTATATCACCAGAGGTTTATACAAGTTGCGTAACGTAGGAAGCATATAGAGATTAGTGAAGCTAAAGTACTGTCTCCAGGAACCTTAACTGAGAATCTTTTAGGATTGTATATACATCATATGTGAGACGCATCACAGAATGAAGATTTTTCTCGCAGTACAGCGATTTGAGCTAGGCAGAGAGACTAGAGGATGTGGCTCTAAAGATCTTAGAAGAAGGACCAGGGAAGACATGAATGCGGCAAATCAAAAAATCGACAGAGCAGATGAAGATAGATTGTTTAAAAAACCATACCATCGTGCCATTACGATTTCGTGAGTCATAAATTGTTTGAAATGCAAGGTAGAGGGAGGAGGACATATATGGAAGCCATAAACACAGATTAGCCACACATGTGCCTCAACCATCACACCTGTGCCTCACCTGTCAACATGATCGGCCGCCTCCTGCATCCGCCGGCAAATGACAGGAGTGACCTTCCACTCCAATCGAGTGGGTTTCAGGGCTGGTTCTTCTACGGTGATTAGCCCTGCCTCAGCCGCTCCTCGTGCTGGGGTGCCAGCCTCCTGGTCAAGCCTCTCCTGCACCACCTCTTCGTGTTGAGTCAGTCCTTCAGGGACGCTCTCCTCCCCCGGCGCCTTCTGTGTGTCGGCTGCCGTGGACTGCAAGATCTGCTCCACCAGCTGTATGACGACGATGCCTTCGGCACACGAGTGCTCGTAACAGAGGCCACACCACCCGTCCCGCGTCAACACGAACTGCGAGAAGTCAACATCAACATTGCTTGTATCATTATTAGAATCAAGGATGAGTAGGGGAGAGGGGAACGCTAAATCAGTAGGGGTCATAGCGCATGGAGAATAGGAAGCAGTATGGTTCGATCCAAGGAAGAGTAGGATAGGTCTACTTCTTTGGATCATGAACCCCTTACCGGAATCAAGGCACCTCCCCTCAGGAAAGGAGAAAATGAGAGATCATCAGAATTATATAGGAAGGAGAAGAGCCCGAGCCTTTAGCTCATACGACTGTCATTCCCATTTGCCCCCTTGGGGCGGGGATGGCAGACCAGAGAGGCTTAGCTTGTGGCTAGGCCTGGGGACAGTTGGTCCCAAAGATGAGGAGGTACTTGTGCCTCCTCCCATGGGAGACTTAGGTCTCAGACACTCCCTAAAGAGGGAGCCAAGGCCGGGCCACCACTTGGAAAAGGCCCGGGCCGGGAGAATACCGGCTAATCTTTAAGAAGAAGAAGAAGAATCAGAATTACGGGAACATTCGAAAGACTGAAAAAAGGCAGACAGGTACATTAGTACAAAGACTCTTTAGTAGAGCAAACTTTTAAAGAACGTTTCGCTAGTGTGAGAGTGAAATGCTGTCCAGTTACAGGATTATTCTTGTATAAAAATCCTTTTTACACCCAGTTATGGGGAAATATATGTGTATATATCATGTTCAGTAATTAGGGAGAAATTTGCGCACAGACACATATCACAAACAACCTGACTGGTCTTGATAGTCTTATCTTGTGCGAGACGCAGAGTGGTGTGTAGCGAGTTTGTTACACTTTATTCGTCGTTCGTCACACAACGGGGAAAGATCTACGTATATATGTTCAATAGCAATAGGCAGATCTTTACATCAAGAACATTTAAGCTTATCTACATTAGCAATATTTAATAAAATTTTGCGCAATGGAAGTGCATCTGTAACGAGGGACGCAGTTGTAGTAAAGAACACAGCTGTAGTGGACACAGGTTTAGTGAAGGACACAGCTTTAACATGTAGACTAAAAATTTCCATAGTACTGATGAGCTTCGATAAATACCGGGGATTACTCTTATAATAAAGAAAATGTCCAAAAAACTATGATTTGCAAAATGTTTAAAGATAAACATTTTGTTAGAGTTACCCTTTTAAGTAGAGATCCGTTTTCTGTGTATCATGACATACTAATAAAGAAAATAGATTTTGCCTTGTGGCGTGGTTAACCAACATATTTTCCATGTATCCCTCTCTACACCTATCTTACATTTTTTATTCCTTTTTTAAACTTTACGTCACTTGACTTAATTGTAAATGGGTTGTTGCTAATTGACCAATTTTACCTATTCGGCACCGCTTATATAAAAGAATAAAAGATTACTGACTCAAAAATTACTTCAAGTACATTGTAATAAAATTGACAACACAACCTGGGAAGCACAAACACACCTAGAAACATTGTAAATGTTTGGAAGTTTCGTTTCTGTCAATGCCAGGTTTGTGGAGATGTGTAAACAGCGTATCCTAGGGCGGTCGCTGCCTGACTACCACCTAGGAGTGTGAACCCGACATCAACTATGGGGTAATCAATAATGTGGGAGTGCTCATTAATGGCACTATATGGTGGTTTGGTAATAGGAAATTTTTCTCAGGTTTAAAATGCATTTATGTTCCTAAATCCTAGTAACCAAATACGTCTTTTTTTTCCTATGTATGGAGCCTTACAACACTCATACGCATATTCGTAAACTATATAGGGTTTAAAGCCAATAGCAATGTGATTTTTGACACTAAAAATTCTTCGGATCGTGTTTTATGATTTGAAAATTATTCTAATATTAATTTGGAGATAAAGTTCGACTCGCAGCCTAATGTACCAGAGGTCGAGCCCTGGTCGAGAAGATACTTACGGGCAGCTCTTCAAACACCTACAGCCCCATTAGAATTAGGCCAAACTGTTTGGTTTTCTTAGATTATTCTGCCTTTCAACACTTTAATGAATAAAGTTTTCTTCTCACTTGAGGTCGCTGAGTCACCCACAAGCCCCTCACATGAAGTCCTTGATCCACTGACCTTCCCCTCACAAGAGGTTTCTGACCAACCCACACACCCTCTCCCACACAAAAGGTCCCAGACCCACCTGTACGGTCTTGTCGAACCACCTGTTGGCGGTGTTGTGGTTGAAGCCACCTCCGTGAATCATCTGGTGACCTGCATTCACCTCGTCGCGCATCCTTGAGTCCTGCAAACATTGTGAGCATTATTTTTATGTACCAACTGTGTGTTTGAGGCCTATTAACTGCATCTGAGGTGGGCAAATACCCGCATTTGGAGTGGGCCTATTTCCTGTATAAACAGTAGGCCTTTTACCTGAAAGGACAGATCTGTCATATGCATATGCTGTGGGTCTATTACAAATAAAAGCAGGAGGCTTTTTATTTGTATATAAGTATTTTGACCTTTCCATCCTTCAGGACGCCCTTCACTCCAACGTGAGCCTGTTAACGTGACTCCACTAATGAAAGTGTAGGCTTCTTAACTGGGGTGTCCTTCGAAACCTGATTAGATTTTAAATTTGATTTTACCATTTTTATTAGCATACTGAGCTACTGCCCGGGATTCAGCGAGATTGAAGCTAGAGTCTTGGACTAGAACTTGACTAGGAGTTTCAATTGGAATGGTTTCATCACAAGACGAGGCATGGATAATGGGTCATTGAAACTGGTAACGGGAAGAGGTAACGCGTAGCTCATAAGTCGTATAGTCACGTGTTCTTTTTTTTTGTAACTGATACGTAATGTAGCTGCAAGGACAGGAATTTGCTGAAATTTTTAATGCATTTCGAAGTAAAGTTTACGGAGACATGTTATCTAAGGTTGTCCTAAGGGAGGACACATGTTATTTACAGAACATCACGTATATTGTACATATCAGTTTTCATTGGAATTTTCCTCATTCGATATATTTGTGTAAGATTTCCAGGCATCTTTACGGTCACTATCACTCATCACGATTTTTGTTAGGTTGCACTTTTATTACCGCCCATTTTCTACACTTTCTTCCCCATCTTTTTTTTTTTTTTTTACAATTTCGTTGTGAGTGCTCAATGGAGCACTTTTTACCGACACTACATTGCTAGGTCATACCATCCATCCTGGCTTTCCTATATATACACATCACTATAAATTCAACAAATACTAACCACGGACTTATCAACACTACCAAAACTAGCATCACAGAAATCACTACCATATCCACAACCACCATCAACAACACAATAATCCCTAACACCACAACCACCACCAACACAAGGGTCACCAGCTACACACCACTACCATCACCACCACCACCACTACCACAATACCTCCTGCGAGGAGTTCTGGGAATTCATATTGAGGCTTGAAGATCGTTTGGTGAGGCTGGCCCTGTGACTGGTGGGCGTCCGCAGGTTGAATTTGGTGGGCAGCGGGTCGTCAAAGCACAACACCAACACACACGTCTCTAAGGTCTTCAGGATCTTCTTGTTCTCCTCCTCTGCAAGAAAGGAAGACATTTTTGACAGTTTAAAACAATACATAGAGAAGTCAGGGGGCGTATAACTAATGGTGTGAGAATTATTGTAATGATCGGTTGGTAGCGAACTCATCTGACACACTGAGTGTCCGGGGTTAGATCCCTATACGGGGTGGAAACACTGGGGATGTTTCCTTATACCTGCTGTGCCTGTTCACCTAACAGCAAGTAGGTACCTGAGTATTAGCAGACTGGTGTGGGTGGCATCCTGTAAGGGGGTAGTATACCCTAGATAGGACTGAGCTTTGCAATGTGCTGAGGTAAGATAATAGATCTTAGCCTGTAAAATTGACCTGTGTAAAAATAAAAACAGTGGCTTTACATTGCTCCTGGGGAATGGGAGGTAATCAGATATAAACCCAAGCTGGAAGCTCCAATTCCAAGAATCCAGAGCCTTTCACCAACATAGAAGCGCCTAACTCCAAGGGGCAGGTGTGAGAATGCCTTGAAAAAAAAAATGTTCAAGGTGAAAGGGGCCGATTTACCTGGAAATTAATTTATCTGGAATGTCGAAGTCCCTTTAGAGATACAAAGTGAGTTTATATTTATGAACTCCTGGATGGAGAGTCATCATGCTGGTGAAGGGCTCTGATCACAAGTATGGAAGAGTACCCTCCCCTCCGTTACATTAAATCTCATAACCTTTCTTACGTTATTAGATAACTGCGAGCTTAGTGCTTCTCTATACACATGATATTACTATGAATCTGTTAATAAGTTTGTGATACACCTGGAAATTTTAAATGTATTCCCTTAAAATCCGTGACTAAGAGTGCTAGTGAAGCTTAGTTAACCCTGTTAACGAAATAAATGTTTAATCTCAGTTTTTCAGGTACCTGCAAATCTCACGTTAAATTAGGTAAGTAAACAAAACTGAGTAGTGCGAATTCCTTCTCCCGCGAGTATAGTACATTGCTAGTAAACAAACTCAAATTCGGGTCCACGAACCAGCTTTGGGTACGCTAACCTCTCACATCACATCAGTACTTGCAGGTAAACTCAAATGGGATCCGCGAACCTCTCGCTTCCTGCCAGTACCTTCAAGTAAACCCAAGTTTGGGTCCAAGAAATACCCCCCTCACCTCCAGCCAGTATTTGGCGACTCTGTGCCCACGTCCTGCGGTTGTCTGAGGTCATAATGCCCACGGGAGGAGGGTCGGAACCTTCGTACTGGTCGACAGCTCGGAGCACCTCGTGCAACTGCGTCGACAACATCTGCTGCGTGATCCTGGTGCCCTCCACCACCACCTCCACCCGGAACATCTGTAGGGCCGGGGCAGGAAAGACAGCCAGGTCATGCTGGGTCACTTTCCCAGGTCATGCTGGGTCACTCCCAGGTTATGCTGAATCACTTCCAGAATGTCATGCTGTCAAATGCTATTCCTATTCTTGTCGGCGCTGAATATCAGTGCCGACAAGAATAGGAATAGGAATTATTACTACTTATTATTATTATTACTATTATTATTATAAATTATATTATTATTATTATTATTATTATTATTATTATTATTATTATTATTATTATTATTATTATTATTATTAATTATTATTATTATGCTAATTATGCTAGCATACTCATTTACCTTATTTACAGAGTCAAAGTGATCACTTGGAGAAGAAAGACCATTTTTTTTTTCAAAACTCATTCATAATTAAAACTCTTAAACATTAGCAGACATTAGCAGGCTCTTAAAATAATAAAAGTCTCTGTTCCTTTGGTCTTCATTTTAAGAGTAAGCATCTTATGTACTGTACCGGCGGGTGTCGGCCATTTTTATGGTTTCGATTGAAAAACAGTCGATACCAGCCGATATTTTATTTAAATTTTAATATTACATGTGTCCTTTAAAATATCTCCGTTAACACTACCTCACGATTATGAGAGCTGCATACACACACACACAACACACACACACACACAACACACACACACACACACACACACACACACACACACACACACACACACACACATACACACACACACACACACACACACACACACACACACACCACACACACACACACGCGCGCACACATACACACACACACACACACACACACACACACACACACACACACACACACACACACATCGATACCTCAAAGGCAATGGGACCGGACAACATCTCTCCATGGGTCCTTAGAGAGGGAGCAGATATGTTGTGCGTACCACTTACCACAATCTTCAACACATCCCTGGAAACTGGGAAACTACCTGAGGTATGGAAGACGGCAAATGTAGTTCCCATTTTCAAAAAAGGAGACAGAAAAGAGGCACTAAACTATAGACCTGTGTCATTGACGTGTATAGTATGCAAAATTATGGAGAAGATTATCAGGAGGAGAGTGGTGGAGCACCTGGAACGGAACAGGAGTATAAATGCCAACCAGCACGGATTCACGGAAGGCAAATCCTGTGTCACAAACCTTCTGGAGTTTTATGATAAAATAACAGAAGTAAGACAAGAGAGAGAGGGGTGGGTTGATTGCATCTTCTTGGACTGCAAGAAGGCCTTTGACACAGTTCCTCACAAGAGATTAGTGCAGAAGCTAGAGCATCAGGCGCATATAACAGGAAGGGCACTGCAATGGATCAAAGAATAACTGACAGGGAGGCAACAACGAGTCATGGTACGTAATGATGTATCACAGTGGGCACCTGTGACGAGCGGGTCCCACAGGGGTCGGTCCTAGGACCAGTGCTATTTTTGGTATATGTGAACGACATGGCGGAAGGGTTAGACTCAGAAGTGTCCCTGTTTGCAGATGATGTGAAGTTAATGAGGAGAATTAAATCTGATGAGGACCAGGCAGGACTTCAAAGAGACCTGGACAGACTGGACACCTGGTCCAGCAAATGGCTTCTCGAATTTAATCCTGCCAAATGCAAAGTCATGAAGATAGGGGAAGGGCACAGAAGACCACAGACAGAGTATAGGCTAGGTGGCCAAAGACTGCAAACCTCACTCAGGGAGAAAGATCTTGGGGTGACCATAACACCGAGCACGTCACCGGAGGCACACATCAACCAAATAACTGCTGCAGCATACGGGCGCCTGGAAACCTGACAATAGCGTTCCGATACCTTAATAAGGAATCGTTCAAGACACTGTACACTGTGTATGTTAGGCCCATAGTGGAGTATGCAGCACCAGTCTGGAACCCACACCTGGTCAAGCACGTCAAGAAGTTAGAGAAAGTACAAAGGTTTGCAACAAGGCTAGTCCCAGAGCTCAGGGGAATGTCGTACGAGGAAAGGTTGAGGGAAATCGGACTGACGACACTGGAGGACAGAAGGGTCAGGGAAGACATGATAACGACATACAAGATACTGCGGGGAATAGACAAGGTGGACAGAGACAGGATGTTCCGGAGAGGGGACACAGAAACAAGGGGTCACAATTGGAAGCTGAAGACTCAGACGAGTCACAGGGACGTTAGGAAGTATTTTTTCAGTCATAGAGTCGTCAGGAAGGGGGAATAGCCTAGCAAGTGATTAGGGGAGGCGGAACCATACATAGTTTTAAAAGGGGTATGACAAAGCTGGGAAGCAGAGGGGAGAGGACCTGAGCGATCATGAAGAGGCGGGCCCAGGAGCTGAGTATCGCCCCCCCTGCAACCTCAATTAGGTGAGTAAAATTAAGGGAGTACACACACACAAACACAAAACACATTTCTTCAGTCATGATCGCAGGAAGTGGAATAACCCTAGAAAGTGATGTAGTGGAGGGGGAACCATACTAGCTTTAAGAGGGGCTGCCAAACTCGGGAAGAGAGAGAGAGGAGAGAAAACCTAGTGCGATCAGTAAAGAGGCGGGGCCAGAGGCTGAGTCTCGACCCCTGAAACCCAAAATTAGGTGGTACACAACACACCACACACCACACACACACAACACCACAACACACACCACACCACACCCCCAAAACCCCACCACACATCGCATTACAAAAAAATAGACTTCTTTACAGTTTTTTTCACACTACTTATCTATCACTACTCCACCTCACAACCGCCATCATTCCCATTACTGCCCAACCACAATCATCTTACCCCCCATACATGGTTTTTGTAGAAAACTACGTGTGCGGCTTTGTTTTTGGTGTTCGGAGACGGAGAGAAGCTTTCCCTTTGGGGATTTTGGAGCGGGACGAGGAGAATACTCGGTTGATTTCGTTCATACACTGGGGTGGTACTTCTCTCTGGCGCTACACGGTCCCCATCCAAGCACCGCTAGGGGAAAGGGCAAAGGTCAAAAGCTTAGGCAAATCCCATTATATTACTTAAATTTGATTTATATTTTTCTTTCAAAAACATCGGCCCTATCCCCCCGGGCGGGGTGGCCCAAAAAGGAAAAACAAAGTTCTCCCTTTTACCCTTTAGTAATGTATACAGAAGGGGGTTTCTAGCCCCCTTTCTCTGGCTTTTGCGCCCCTTCACCGCCTGACTTTTTGGAGGAAGAATTCTGGTTCCCCCTTTCCCCCTGGGGAAAGATATTTTTAAATTTTGTATATTATATTTACAATTACAAACACATATATGTTTTAGGCATTAAATGGAAGAAAATTTAGGGTTCAAAAGAAAATTCAAAAGTAATGGGAAAAGGAATATGTTCTCGTAGGAAAAGTTTCTTTTGGGTCCATCTAAGGTCAGTACCTTTGATCTATTGATCTTAAGCTTCTTTACATGATTTTCTTCCAGGCGCTGTACGATCCTCACTGGATAACACATTCCACTTATTTATAGCAATAATAAGCAAGATATTATTGGAAGATCACATAATGAGTTGGGAAAACCCTCGCTTCACTGGGAAAAATTTGCAGGTGTCCTCACATCCTTGGCATGGAGGAGGACATGGTGAGAAAGAAAAGAATCAATGAATGTTAGAGCAGAATTAGTTTATGTAGCTGCAGTGTGTCAGCCACGTCAAAATAATTACATAAAAATTGGAAGATAGCCGATGATATACTGTAAAATTGATTCCCAGAGTAAAGAATGGATTTCGATGACTTTAAAGTAATAACAATCTTCCCTTTGAAGTGGAAAAGACAGAAAACAATAACAATCCTCCCCTGGTAGGAAAGATGGGGGACCCGAAAACAATAATCCTGGTAGCCCCGCTATAGTAAGAGAGAATAAAGATGATAAACACATAAAAGATCATAAACTGTTTTTAACAGACTAAAATAAGATCTTTAAGAAGGATACTAACAGTGAGAACAAGAAGCCACAGCTGCAAACTAGGAATAAAATGGAACTGGTAGGACAAAATATTTCTTAACATATGGAGTGATAAACAGAAGAGGATTAAGGAAAAAAAAAATCTTTAAGCAGTTATAAATATAACTACAAACACTGAAGACCTGAGGCTGTGAATATTGTTCTGTCACAGTAACTACAAACACTGAAGACCTGAGGCTGTGAACATTGTTCTGTCACAATAACTACAAGCACTGAAGACCTGAGGCTGCGAACATTGTTCTGTCACAGTAACTACAAACACTGAAGACCTGAGGCTGTGAACATTGTTCTGTCACAGTAAGTACAAACACTGAAGACCTGAGGCTGTGAACATTGTTCTGTCACAGTAACTATAAGCACTGAGGACCTGAGGCTGTGAACATTGTTCTGTCACAGTAACTACAAACACTGAAGACCAGATGCTACCAACACAGCTTTGTCCTGTAACTACTAAAACAACAAAAACCTAGGTGACATCAGCCACAAACACACATGCAAGCATATAATGCATCCCACGAACCTCTCTCCATGAACCTGCCAAACGAGCATTAATATTCATCCAATTTCCCCAGTGTACCAGCATTATGGAGAGGCAGAAATTTATGACAACTCATTAACAAAAAATAATTTCTTGTTTACAGTCCCGGGAAGGAACATTCATATTCATGTGGACACGGCAGCAAATGTTGGTTTTGGGCCCAAATATATTTCGGATGTGAATTCAGCGTAAATTCGCAGCACGATATCTGGGCCACAATATAAAATTAATGGAGCTATTGTGTGTGCAACATAAATATAAATATATTATATATATATATATATATATTATATATATATTATATATTATATATATTAATATATATATATTATATTAAAATATATATCGTGCGAATATGTAAAATTGGTCGAGTAGCAAAAACTCATTTAAAATTAAGTCCTTTCTAAAATTTTCTCTTATACGTTTAGAGATATATTTTTTCATTTATGTTTATGTAAAAATTAATAATTTTGTACCAGAAGCACCTTAGAAAACTTACCTAATTTTATTTATAACAAGCGCAATTTAATTTTGC